TACAGAGCTTGTTAATTTATGAAAAATAAAGTATAAATAAAAATTGGTGTAATAAACAATTCCAATATACTGGTGCATTTACACTAACAAAATTTTTATCATGCACTCCTCAGAAGTGAGAATAAATTATTACTGTGCCCATGCAACTGCTAGCGTGGTGACGTCACAAACACCTGCTTGAACATGTTTTAAATGCGAAAAAACATTTTTAGAGCACTGCAAACACTTCTGGCGTCTATCTATCTATCTATCTATCTATCTATCTATCTATCTATCTATCTATCTATCTATCTCTATCTATCTATCTATCTATCTATCCAACCACCCTTCGCATGCTTCGCATAACATCGAATCCAAAGTACAAGCCGCATCTGCAAAATTCATTTCTTTCGGAGCATTAACAATAAAAATTACCCCATCGAGCCAGCATACAGTCCCTGTGCGTACGAGTAATCACTCCTCAGCCGTCTTTGAGCAGCTTTGCAGCAGCGAAAGGGGCATTTTGGAGCAGCTCTGGAGTACCAAAAGGCGTATTTTGGAGCATCAAAATTTAGTTAGGAGCAGATTTATTGGGTCGCACATTACTGTTAATTAGAATTTGTTTTTTCCTTGCTTTCTCATAAACAAAAAGAATTCAGTGGTTTTTACCAAGCATTCAATGCTGATCAAGTTACCAAACTTACCCCAAATTGATATTATATATATATATTATATATATATTATTAACCTTACAACATCAAAGCAGAAAGCACAGAAACTCAAAAAAAAAACATAAGCGGCACTCTGGACAGCTACTCACGCTGTATAAGCAGCACTCTGAACAGCTACTAGAAAATGAAAATTTTCATGTTAAATGTTTCACTGTTCAAAATGTGAATAAAACTCCACATCCAACATGAAGAGCAACTCAAGACTTGACCTACTACATAACATAAGTTATCTTCATACTGAACCCAAAGGTCTATAAAAATAAATGTAAATAAACTTATGTTCCAGTCATTGAAGTGCCACAGCTGACATCAGAACCACGACGAAATTCAGATGCGCTCGCCACGCCATGGTTAGGCAATAAAGTAAAAATTCTTTATTACGATAGGAATTATGGACACTCGACGGATTTTCACCGTCCCCGCCATGTTCCACGTAAAGTACAAGTTGTTAACATTCTCTGCGCATCGTACGTTCTACCCGAGCGTAAAATTGCGCAAGCTGAGATGATGAGCGCTGCTCAAGCAGAAGATAAACGAAGCGGCCGATCTCCGTTGCTTGGAAGGCGCAAGCGATAGCGTCCTGCCGCTTGTTAGACCTGCCGTCAAAAGCTCAAGCAGAGATAAACACGCCACCCGTCTTGAACGAGCATTAAAAAAATATGCGAGAAAAAGGGGGAACGGGTTGCTCGAGCAGCAGCGGTGAATTTTGATTCAAAAGGTTTCATACGGATAAGCTGGTGCTCGTTCTATCAGCAAGCATCAGCGCTATTCCTAAACCGTTCTACGTGGTGTGCTCTCAATGGGAAAGGATTGTGCAATAAGAGCATTTCTCCCTGGAGCAGCTGTACTTTTTCTCTTACACCAGCGTTTTGTAGATTGTCGCGATGTTGGATCCAAAAGAGTTAGCTGAAAGCATTCGTACTGTCACGGAGTCGTGAGGTTGACGAAGGCAGCAGTCGCTGTTTTCATGAGTGAACTTTATTTGTGCGAGCCTGTGCGCTGGAAACAAAATGTCACTCTACAAGCAATACAAGCTGTAGACTGATAGCAGCAAACGAGAGTGTAGGCCGTCCATAATTTGCCAAGCAGCAAAGTGTGTCGGCATTTATACATGTGCCATCGAAGATTTTAGCGTTATCGTTATAGGCTGCGTAAGTTCCAAAAATATCTTATGTACGCGTTGTTCGCGTAATCTCATTGGAAGGTTCTAAGATTATCTAGATTGTTCCCAGCCATTCAGGCGCGGTTTGCAAAGGCAGCGTTAGATGCGTAATGATGCGGTAGCAAAATAGAAGGAAAGGAGCATGTGTGGAATTACTATACAAATTCTTGCTATTGCAGTCATTACTTTGCGATAAAACATTTTTTTTTTTTCAGTTTATATGGTTCGGCTAACAGCTTCACTGTTAAAACCCATATAAAGTCACATAATGGGGTATGTGCACAAACACCACCTTAACAAGAATAATGCATGAACCGAAAAATGACGTGACCGAACTAATTTGATATAGACGCGGTGCGTCCTTAGTGTAGCCCACGCGTGTTGCTCGGTTGATTACAAAACTTGACTAAATTTCGCGTTGCACACGCAAATTGCCGTTTAGACGCAGCAGGTTAGATTGCCGCATAATGGCGATATAGTGCAGCACTTCCACCCCTGCCTCTAGACTATTATTGTTTCTCGCGCTATCATCCTGGTTGTTTTGGCTTCTGTACAGCTAGCTGTCTGTAGGCCTTCTCCGCCAACTCGACTATCCTATTCATATTGGTTATGACATAGCCTTCCTTGTTCCTCAATGCATACATCCGATTTTTGCCTATGCAAGTCAGCCTTTGCAGCTTTTAGGCTTCTGCCGCTTTTTACATGCTCAATTCTTTTCGTGTTATACTCCTGATGTCGGCTACCTTACGCCTATTGATAAACTTCGAACGCTCCACTAACTCTATTTTGTCGGTTGCATTTGAGGCTTTCATGGTTTGTCGTCTCTTAATATTTTTTGTCTCCTGCGATAGCCTGCCAGTTATCTGTCTAGTGACAATACCTCAACTTCCATTGCACACGCTTTGATGATACTAGCAAGATTATCGTTCCACTTGTCAATGCTAACGTTGGTTTTCTCGTTTAGTGCCTCGAATCTATTCTGAAGCAAAACTGAATTCTGTATTTTCCCTCTCACTGCCAGTCATTAATTGGCAGCTTGCATATCAATCTTTGTCTTTGCTTTTTTAAAATCTAGGTGAATACAAGCTCTTACCATTCTATGGTCCCTGCATCGGATCTCGCCAACGACTTCTACATCGTGTACAATGCCTGGGTGAGCACACAGAATAAAGTCTATGAAGTCTATTTGATCTTTAAATTCGCCATTAGGATTTCACCACATCCACTTACGGTTAGCCTGTTTTCTGAAAAAGGTATTCGTATGGCGTAAATATTACATTCTGCAAATTCTATTATTAACTCCCTCTGGCATTTCTAGAGCCGATGCCATATTCCCCCACTGCATGGTCTCTGGCCTGCTTCTTGCCTACTTTGGCATTAAAGTCACCCATCAGAATAGAATACTGTGTCTTTACTTTATTAATGGCTGACTCTACATCTTCGTAGAAGCGTTCAACCAAATGATTATCATGGCTTGATGTAGGCACATAGGCCTGCACCATCTTCATCTTGTACCTTTTATTAACTTAATTATAATACCTGCCCTCTCTCGCTGATGCTATAGCATCCCTCTATGTTGCCAGCGATTCTTGTATAAGAAACCTCATCGCTAGTTCTTTTCTGTACACTAATCCATGGTAGCATAGGACATGTCTGTCTTCAGCACTGAATAAGCCTCAAGTGTCCTCCTACCTTTGCTGAGTCCTATTGGATACCATTTAACACCCTCTAATTCCTCAATACCCCAGCTAGACTAGCCTCACTAGATAGCACTCTAGTGTTGAAGGTAGCCATGTTCAGATTCCAATGGCGGCCTGTCCGTACCCAGGGATTCTTGGCACCCTTCGCTGTGTCGCAGGTCTGACCGCCGCTTTGGACAGTTGCAGCCTTTTGGGACTGAGGGTCAAGGATTCATTGCTTCTTTTTGTTTTTTAACGAGTCCTTCAACAAGCATTTTACGTAAATATATGATTGGAAATGGTCCAGCATCTGCATTCGTATAGAATTTTGTCATGGCAAGCTAGGCTGCTGCGCTATCTCTAAGTATGAGGTTCTGTTGCACTTTCTTAGCCCTGCAGAATACAACCTGACTGCTCATCAGCTCTCAACTTCACCCGACTCATAGCTCCCCTGGCCTTCTTTTGTTAACTATTTTGAAATCCATTTTCCTTGAAAACAAAAAAAAAAAAAGAAAACACCCAGCGTGGTTGCAAACTTCTGACCTTACGAGCTTAGGCCAGCTCAGTGCTTTGGATGACTCTCTTTATTAAGCATTTATTTTCTTTTAACTTCTTCCTGTCTCGCTCAATTTTGACATTATTGGCTTTAGAGTAATCGAACTCCTGTTTTGTGACTAATCAGCTACTTCTATCTGATTCTTACGTTGAGCTTATACGTCACGAAGGTCGGAGTGCATGAAAATTAAATGTGAAAAGTTTCTAACAGTTAAAGACTAGACAGGCACTTCCTATTTTGTTTGTATCGTATTTTGTTGCCGTTTTGGGATAGTAATTATAAACTCTGGTAATAGATATTGAAGTAGATAGTGGCCCTCAGTCGAGAGTCGTATACACATATTAGTAATTACATCTACGGTTAGCTTAATAACGTAAAATTGTAGATTAAAGGTAGCAGTGAATTATTTCTAGTTTAGAAAGCGGCAAAAGGCAAGAAACTTCGTACAAAAGCAATGACGTGTTTGCATCACTGACTACAAAGCGTCAGCTTGAATTGCTAGACCCCGACGAATCTCGCACCATACTCATACAAAACAATAAGTCCATGCGATGCCTTATTAATTATTATAACTGTTATAACTGCAAGAATTGAATGGAAAAAGGGTATTTTTAATTACCTGTAATACACAAAGTGCTCCATTTTTTCCATAGCCAGCTGTAGTGACAAGCTCTAGGTCTGCATCAGAGTTTTGAACAAACTCTTCAGAAAGAAATGCTGGTTCACCCATACATATTTTCCCACACGGTCCAATGTTAATCAAGCTGTCACAGACCTGCAACAGCAAAAGCATTATCAGCCTTAATACAGAAATCTTAATTTAATCTTAATACAGACGAGATCACTCTCAAAATCCACTAAATGCTACAGCAGGGGCTGACTACCATAAGGTCACCAGAGTAGGCTAACACGAGATCACTCTCAAAATCCACTAAATGCTACAGCATGGGCTGACTACCATAAGGTCACCAGAGTAGGCTAACACTAGTAAAATACTTGTTTTAAAGGGACACAGCAGTGAAACACTAAATCAATTCAGAGAGATAAATCATATCTGATAAATCTATTGTCAAGTTTGCCTTCATAAGTCCATTACTGGAAAAGAAAATGAAGGTGATTTGCATAACTGAATTTCACACCAGAACGTCAGCATTCCCCCTCCATTTTTTTTTCATTTTACGAACATCAATAAAATTTCATGAAAGTTGCTAGCATATTAATAGAATAGTAGGGCAAATCAACCATAAAAGTGATTGTATAATTGCATTACGAAAAATCATGCACACTTTCCTGATCACAACTGAATAGTGGCGAGGACACAGGTGGTACGGCGGCACTACTTATAATTAAATTCTTTTAACATTTTCTCACGGCAAGTGTCCTTTGAGGCAAGAGCAGTGCTTTCGGTATCGTGAGGGGGCAACTTACTGATACAAGAAAAAAAGTTATCTGGCTTCTACATGTCCCTTGAAGAGTGTTTTTGGGGGTCAATCAAAAGAGACAGTACATACATAGAAGATGCACATACCTCAAAAGTGTATGATGTCAGTTGCTTCGTTGCCATGGTTTCACTTCCGTACACTTCCAGTTCATCCGGATCAATGAGTGCAACATCGGAAGCTAATAAATAAGAGCCAAGATTATTATTTCCTGCAAAATCCTGTGAAGCTACAAATGAATCCTACCCATCCAGTCCCCAATGGCGTCCATCCTTTTCTTTTTGGAAGGAGGTCATTGGCCTAATGCAAATAAAATAAGCATGGAAACTTAAAGTATAAACACAAACAATATGCAACTCTTTGTTCTCATTCTGGGTTGTCAAAGAACAGCAGTTTCAATATTTGACCATAATCAGCTACATTCGCAATGCACGTCAAAAAACTAAAAGGTAAAATGTGCAATAAGAAATGGCCCTTACATCACTCTCAGTTTTTTCATCTCGTTTTGCAATGTCATCCACTTCAGCAGCCTTCTCAGTATAATGAAGCAGTAAGGAATTCCCAAGCCGCGAACCAAGAAACAAATAGCCATCTTCACAAAGTGTCATCTGCGTTGCAAAACAAACAAAAAAGTATGTAAACTTTTTTACATCATGAAAGGTTGAAAGAACTTGTGCACAGTAGGGCAACCAGAAAGCAGAGGTTGGAAACTCACACTTTTTGTGAGTTTTTGCCACCATTTTGATTATCTGCTACTCTCACACCAGCATTCTCGCATGCTCATCTGTTAGAAGCTGCACTATAGCAGTTCATGTGCTGTCATGCACTGTGCCAATGTGGACCTACTAACTACTGTACTGCGAGATATCAAACTTTCTAGTGCTAGGTGCCATGTCGATTGCTGAAACATGCTGGACCTGGCATCAACGGCACTCAGTCTGCCTCTTGTCATCCTTGCCGAGTGCTTCAAGGCATGGAATGTATAGCAAGACTCGAAAAAGCACCACATATTGCCATTTCCCAAAAGTTAGCTTCGTTGCATCACAGCGATGTTACAGTTAAGCGTATGCAACGTACTGCAGTGAAGCACAGCAGAATGGAAATAGGCAACACAACCCCCGGACATCAAGTGACACTACAAACATTGCAACTACCCTCAGAGCTACTGTGGATGCAGCTGAAGCGATTTAAGCTTTGTATGGATTTTGTGGTCTACAGGAAATTTGAAATATCGGACACATTTTCTTAAGCTGCAGAAGTACTAAGGCTTGACTTTACCAATGCAGTTAGCAGATACCGTGGTGCTCATAATCACACTGTGGTACCATATGTGTTTGCTTAGATGATTATGTTTACCAAGTGGTCTGGGTACAGCTAGCACTCGCAGGCAGTCGAAGGGAAGGTTTGTGTAAGACCAGATCACTGGGTGCACTCGCTGTTGTAAGTTCAATGAAAGAGCCAGGATACAGCATGTGTCCTGTCGGATGGCAATCCGCCTAAGAGAAACAAACAACTTTTACGTAAAAAGAAGAACGAACACTCCATCACACCACAGCAAGATAATCAACTAGTATTTCAGTATCCATCTAGTATTTCAGTATCTATCTTTGCAGTGATAAGTTCACATTTTCGCATTCATGCCATTAACTCTTTATACAGTAGTATCTCAGTAAACGGAAATCTGTTAAATGGAACTACTACTGCTTAAACAGAACTATTACCTCTGCAATGCTTGGTTGTGGGCTTGTATTCTGCACTCATGTTCGCCTTTCAGTAACGGAACTCCTGTTAAATAGATAATATTTCTTGGTCCTTTCAGGTTCCATTTAATTGATATGGGGGGTTTAACGTCTCAAACCACCATACGATTATGAGAGACGCCGTAGTGGAGGTCTCCGAAAATTTCTACCACCTGGGGTTCTTAAGGTGTGCCTAAATCTGAGCACACGAACCTACAGCATTTTCGCCTCCATTGAAAATGCAGCCGCCGCAGCCAGGATTCGATCCTGCGACCTGCGGTTCAGCAGCCGAGTACGTTAGCCACTAGACCACCGCGGCGGGGCTTCAGGTTTCGTTTACCGAGAGTCTACTACATATAACAATGATTGCTTTCCTGACACTATGTCCTGCTGCTGAGTTCATGCTTGTCATTATAAATTTCTATACTCAGCCAACAAGCATTGCCCCATCAAGAGCTATTGTAGCACTTGTATTGTAACAATTACAATACAGCGAGAAGTTAATGAGATCAACCATGTTTTTTACTTAATAGGACCTATTCAAATTAGTCCTCTGCAACACACACACCATCAATAGATTGTAGCCTACCTCTTGTCAGGAAGGAGCGCAGGCACTTCTCCAAGCTGACCCAGATATCTTGCGCCAACACCATCTGTACCCACAGCCCATCCCTTGACAATTATAACGAAATTTTAAGGGGCACCACCTTTAGATTAACACCCTTTCTTCTCTTTTCCCTCTCCTCTTCTGTTTCCTAAATCTAGTAGCTGAAGAAACCAAGCTGACAGTGTTAATTGACGTTGGTGCAAGACAATGTTAGTGCAACATTAATAACCTGGTGACAGTAAGCATTATAATAAATTTTAAATGACTGAGTGCATATTAACTGGCATTCAATTGGGGTACTAACAAAATTTACCCTCCAAATGACTGTGCCATGAAGACTTCAGCAAAATATAAATGACAATAAGTAACAATAATGAGGCTCAGCAATTTAGAATGTGATATGACAATGCCTAGAACCATCAATAAGGGAGACATTGACAGTAGGCCCTGGAAAGCATCATGAATGTTAGGCTGTTAAAGCTACAGAGTGGATTGCTTGAAAGTGACAGAAGAGAATATCATCGAACAATGCAGCCTTTTTTTTTAATAGTTTGTCAAGATGAAGAAAAGAGGAAGAATAAAAAGTAAGAAGACCCTCTCTATAAGGGTGACTACGGCTTTGTCGACCTAGCAAAGGCACCATTAAAACACTTCAGACTAGTAACAATAAACACAGACAAAACGTGAAAGGCAAAAGCCAGAATAGTGTCCTTACATGTGACGGCTAGAATGGGAAAAATGAAAAGATGTACTGTGAGCAAAACACAATAAACAAGGGAAATATAAGTACCTTCCTTAGCACAGCAGGCATGAACTTACCCTGGCCATGTCCGTAGAGGTTCATACAAGATGAGCAATGTGGGCTCATAATAGCCATGCAGAAACTGCATGTCAATAATATTGTTCACCTTCTCCTCCAGTTCAGTAAGTGCTACTGGATACCAGTCCAACAAAAAAGGCTTGCTGGAATTCGTAAAAGAAAATGGAGAACATAGAGCTCTGCTTTCTTATCCACAAGTGAATTGCCATTGGCCCTGCACTCCTCTAAAGTCATGGAATACGCATGCATATATATATATATATATATATATATATATATATATGTAAGCACATTCCAAGCATTTGATCGTTCTCACTTGCCATACCCATCATCATCGTTCTCACTTGCACATACCCATCATCATCGTCCTTCTCTTGGTGTGGTTCTGAGCGGAGCCAGACATCGCAGAATAAACGCTTCTGCTCGCCCTGCCTGCTCGCCGTACCTAGTCTGCCTGCGTCTTTCAGAGTGGTGGAGGTGCTGGGTAAGATCCCCGACGTCCTCCTACGTTCATTTCCCCACCTGGAGCTCCGATCTGGTCGCCGATTGCACCCAGCCACCCACACAGGTATGCAGACATCGGACCCTAACGCCTAGCCCTAAACGCTACAGCCCCTACGCCGGCGGCTGCCCGCTCTTCATCTACTGTCACCAGCCCTCAGCGCGACCGCCCGTGTTCGCGGGTCTTCGCGGTGACGACGTCGAGGAATGGCTTGACCTTTACAACCGTGTGGGTTCAGCCAATCGATGGACCGAAGCGAGAAACTGAGCTACCTTCCTTTCTATTTGACCAGCGTAGCCAAAACCTGGTATTTTAATCACGAAACTGAACTTCGTTGATTGGTCGACCTTTGCCAACAAACTGCGACAAATATTCGGATGCTCATCGGGTCGTTCCGAAGCCGCGAAAACAGAAGCTGGCTGTGCGTCTACAAACTGGCACATGAGTCGTACACTTCGTAATATCGAGGATGTTTTGGCCCTCTGTCGCCGTGCGAATAAAGACATGACGGAAGATGAGCGCGTTCGCCACATCCTTAAAGGAATCGGCCCAATCGCATTCAACGCCTTGGCTGTTGGCAATCCCGCTACGGTTAACGACGTCATTTCGACATGCCACGCCTTGACCAGTTGCAGTCCCTCGGCTTCAACAAGACAGTGATCCACGCCTGATGCCTCCCTCTGAATTAAAAACCCTTATCCGCACAATCATCCGGGAAGAACTTCGAGACCTTGAACAGCAGCGGTCCACTGTCGCCTCCGCTCCGTCTCCACCATTCGACCTGCGGAATCTTGTTAAGCAGGAGTTAGCGGCAATGGCGACACCGACATCCCCGGTCGCTCCGCCAGCACGCCCGATGCCCACATACGCCCGATGTGACGCCCAGGTCGACACCGGCAGCACCGGTTGTTCAAACGGTAAATGCCCACATATGCGGAGATCGCTGCGATTCCGCCTGCTCCCGGGGCATCTAGCTCTACGGATACTGCTAGTAGCCATTTGGCTGCTATGCGAGGTGGAATGACTGCTGCACCTTGTATCCTCAGTGGCGTCAATCCCGTCCTGTTTGCTTTACTGCGGTATACGAGGCCCATTTCTCGTTACTGCCGTCGCCGCCAGCAAGAGGAACGACGAGCTATGCTGAGTTCGAACGAGATCCGGTTCCGAAGACCAGATCTTTATGCTCCAGCACCTACCCGTCGCGCAGTACCGGTCTCCGTCTCTCCAGTGGCCCCTCGTCAACATCAGGAATACCGACTCCTCCAGACGACGCTCTCCATCGCCCTATCGCGCGCTCCGCATCGCCGCTTCGTCAATCATCTCCCGTCCTGTTGACCAATCTTCGGAAAACTAAGGATTGCAGTTTTTGGAGGGAAAATGCGTCCCGTCGACCAACAAAAATACCTCCTGTTCGCCCAGCTAATATGTTTGTCAGTGACTCTTGAAGGTATTCCTGTGCAAAGCTCTCGTTGACACCGGTGCAACCACTTCTGTTTTGCGTAGTGACTTGTGCTCGCGCCTACGTAAAGTCAGAACGCCCTATGTGGGACCTGTGTTGCGTGGGGCAAAATAACGTGCTGATTCAACCTGACGGACAGTGTACGGCTCGTGTTTCTATTGATGGTATACGTCACCACATCGAGATGATGTGTTTGCCCACGTGCATTCATGAACTTATCCTTGGTTGGGACTTTCTGCATTCTGCTTTCCGCTGTTATATCCTTTAAAGAGAACGTCATTCACATAACGGATACAACGGATGCGCCCATTCCAGTTTCATCACCCTCGATCTCCAACTTGGTCATTGTTGAAGACTGCGTCCTGCACCCTGGTCACGAACACGTGATAGCTGTCGCATCTACCCAAGTAACCGACGGTGATGCACTTGTGGCTCCTTCGTTTCGCTGCACCTCCCGTGGAATTCTCGTCGCCTCTTGCCCTCCTCCGGTTTTTCCTCTGGCTGTCGCTTTTCTGCCCGTTTCTAACACAACTGCAGAATCTGTGCTGCTGCCCAAGGGAATGACAGTGGCAAAGATTGACTTCTCCTCCATTGACCTCCATCGCGACAACTCTGCCCCGTCTTCGTCACCAGTACCAGCTCCAGGTTCAACGTTCTTTTCCCTTTTCGACCTGTCATTGGTTCAGACCTCACACCAAAACAGTCTGAAGCACTATTGGCCCTTTTGGCTAAGCACAAAGCCTGCTTTGATAGCTTGTACCACAACACTGAGTCAGACTTCCGCGGCTGTACATCGCATTGAAAAACCGACGGTTCTCGTGTGATACGCCGTCGCCCATAATCGGGTTTCGCCAATCAGAGAGAGAAATAATTGAAAAAGAAGTGAACGAGATGCTATCGCGAAATAATAGACCCTTCTTCGGAGTCCCCCTTCCCCTGGGCATCTCCAGTCTGTTTAGTTAAAAGAAGGATGGCTCTGTTCGTTTTTTGCCATGTACTACCGCGCGGTTAATAAGATCACACGCCAAGGACGTATATCCTCTGCCCTAGATGATGACGCTTTCGACACACTGCAAGGGCGAACTATTTTTCGAGCCTTGACTTACGATCAGGTTACTGGCAAATCCCCATGAAGAGGCTGACAAAGAAAAAACTGCATTTGCCACACCGGACGGCCTTTATGAATTTAATGTAATGCCATTCGGCTTGTGCAACGCTCCAGCCACGTTTGAGCGAATGATTGATACTGTTCTTCGTGGCCTAAAATGGAAGACCTGCCTCTGTTACTTAGATGATATCGTTGTTTTTTCAAGTACCTTTGCCCAACATCTTCAACGATTAGACGAGGTGCTACAATGTCTCTCCAAGGCTGGCCTTCAGATAAATACAAAGAAGTGTACATTTGCCAGCAAAAGCATCAAAGTCCTCGGTCACGTCGTTTCCAAAGACGGAATCCAACCAGATCCCGAGAAGATCGCAGCTGTGCTACAGTTCCCTCGACCGTCCAACCAAAAGACGTTGCGCAGCTTTCTTGGTCTCGCGTCCTATTTCGTCGCTTTATACGCAACTTTGCTACCTAGCGGCTCGCTAAATAAGTTATTGGCCACTGGTGCTCCTTTTCTCATGGTCCAACGACTGCGAATCTGCATTTGAAATTTTGAAAGAACGCCTGACTTCCGGACCAGTGCTGCGCCACTTCGATGAGAGAGCGCCTACCATACTCCATACTGACGCAAGCGCACAAGGCATTGGAGCAGTCCTTCTGCAGCGTGATTCCACCTCTAAAGAGCAGGTTGTGGCCTACGCTAGCCGGACTCTGTCAACAGCTGAGCGGAATTACACCATCACGGAGCAGGAGTGCTTGGCTATCGTATGGTCGATACAGAAATTCCGCCCGTATCTCTACGGTCGGCACTTCACCATCATCACCGACCACCACGCACTCTGTTGGCTTTCATCAATGAAGAATATGTCAGGACGTCTTGCGCGCTGGATACTGCGCTTACAAGAGTACGACTTTACAGTTACGTACAAGTCTGGCAAATGTCATCATGATGCCGACGCGCTGTCCCGGTGCCCACTTTCGCTCTCTCGTGACAATACGTCCACCGCATCGCGTTCGAATGACTCTGACACCCAGCTTGCCTCACAACACGTATCGCTCGCATCGCTGGATCCAATGCAGCTATGAAAGACGCAGGCAGACTAGGTACGGCGAGCAGGCAGGGCGAGCAGAAGCGTTTATTCTGCGATGTCTGGCTCCGCTCAGAACCACACCAAGAGAGAGGACGATGATGATGGGTATGTGCAAGTGAGAACGATCAAATGCTTGGAATGTGCTTACAATATATATATATATATATATATATAATATATATATAATATATTATTATATATATATATATATATATATATTCTCACATAAAATGGCAAGCACCTTCCTATGTAACATAGAAATATTGCAAACGAAGACAACAGATTAAGGAGACATTTGAACCGTAATCATGGTCCCCCTTCCTTGATCTTTTATTAGGTCCGGGGGTTTTGCATGCTGAAACTGTGGTGCGATTATGAGCATGCCATAGTGGGGGACTCAGGATTAGTATTTAGCAAACTGTGGTTCTTTCACATGCATGCACCTATATTAAAGTGCATTGGCATCTTGAAATTTTTAACTAATAAAATGCAGTAAACTCTGTACACTAGTGCCATAGCCATAGTCACTGTAGCTGTTGATGTTCCCAAACTAATAAATGCCCAGCAGAAATGGGTAAGCCCCAACCAATTGTTTAAATAAAAGCAGGAATGATGTTTCTGCCTCGCTACAAAGGCCTTGTTTACAAATAAGAAAAGTTTTTCATAGACGTGGGTTATGAAGTCTGTTAAAAAAGTATCCAACCTTTTTTTTCTTTTTGCAATCCCCTGATGGGTTTGAAACAAGCGCACTTGCATCAGCCGACCTTGAACCTCTGTGCACATGAGTGAATTTTTTCCCCGCCTCTTAATAGCGTCAGTCGTTGAGACGCAGGGTTTGAGTGAGGTAGTGCGCAGTGCTCTGGTCGTTTTTTCATTGGAAGGAAAGACGGAGCGACTGGAGCAGCGCTACTGCATCAAATTTTGCCAGAAACAGTGAGACAGCCAAGTGGAAACCATTAAAAAGATCAAGACTGCTTTCGGTGACAACTCTATGAGCCGCACACAGATTGAGGAGCGGTATAACCGGTTCAAGGACGGCCACAGGTTAGTGGAGAGCGAGCCACGGTCCGGTCGGCCATCAACAAGCCGAATGACCAGGTCATTGCTGAAGTGAACACTGTGGTGATGCGAGACCGCCGTGCGACTATCCGGGAAATTGCGGAAGAGGTGGGTATCACCCTTTCTTTGCACTTTCAGTTATGACTGAAGATTTGGCCATGAAGGGAGTTGTGGCAAAATTCGTGCCGAAACTGCTAACGGTGGAGCAAAAGCAACTTCATGTTGAAGTCACGTAGTGCATGCTGGATTTCACAAGCAGTGGCCCTAACTTCATGAACACCATTATCACTAATGATTAGTCTTGGGTGTACGGTACGACCCAGAAACCAAACCCCAGTCATCACAGTGGAAGCATTGTTCACAGTGGAAGAAATGTTCGATTTAACAGGACTTACATTTACGCACATATACACGCAAACAGGTCCCGACACCCTTCAAGAAAATGAAAACTCTTCTGTCTATGACTACAACTACAAAGCAAGACTGAGGTGCTGGCTACCATTTTGCCTCTTGACTTTTTCGCTAGAGCAGGTCAGGTGTCCAAATAAAAGGCATCTTTCTTTTCCCTAATTTTGCTTCTGTAACTTTGTGAATTGCCACATTGCGCACATATGGGACACTCTTGATTGTTATTGAAGCAATGTGAAAAATCACTTTTGTTGAATTGATGTTGCCGCACTCCTGCAGTTCTTCCAGCGACTTAATAAACAATCTGCAACCCAACTTTACACAGTCCCGGGTGCTAGGGCACAGTCCCGTGCTTCACCAACCTTGTCGTTTCCCACTTTCCCTTTCCACAATTTATTCACGGTGGACAAAGCCTCGCTTTGAAGCAGCAGTACCCACTCACATTCTAATGAGGAAAGGTAGCTCATTTCTAATAGACTTACTGCATAAACAATAATGATTGATTGATTTGTAGGGTGTAACGTCCCAAAGCCACCATATGATTATCAGAGACGCCGTAGTGGAGGGCTGCCAAAATTTCGACCACATGGGGTTCTTCAACGTGCACCCAAATCTGAGCACACGGGCCTACAACATTTCCACCTCCATTAGAAATGCAGCCGCCACAGCCAAGATTCGATCCCGCGACCTGCGGGTCAGCAGCCGAGTACCTTAGCCACTAGACCACCGCGGCGGGGCCTACATAAACATAAACAGTGTGGTTATGTTGTTTGTTGCTATGGCAATGGCATCAACCATATACTGAACAGCAAAAGCAAAATTCAGTGCAGCTTCCACATGTAGGAGCTTTCAACTCATTCCATTAGTGGAGAGTTTCATTGTCACTGGCGAGTGAACATGTGCCCCACGAGAATGGAGTTGAAGGCAGGTATCTTTTTTTCTATTTAAAATTTCCTAAACTGAACGACTTCGGGCTACATGCTTCAATTGCTGCCATTCTTGGTGCACCAATCTGTCCGTACTTCAGTCTACGCAACCCACAAGTAAAACGTGGGGGGTTGAATAGGGTTTGAGGGCCCCTTTTTGAAGTCTCTGATATTAGCTTGAATAAATGTGGACATCTAGGGATGTTTTGCAAATGGTTGCCTTAATTTGAACAGTATGCAACTCACATTCAATTCAGCTCTAAATCACTATTAGCACACCCTATACAAGATAACTTCTACAATACAAAGCTGGGTTTGGACATTTCAAACCCAAGACCTGAGAGACTCACTTTCCAAAGGTTATGCCAGACTCTGGTTCATCAGTTGTTGCATCCTTCCGGAAAGGAATTATCGCAATGGTCCGGCTGAAGATCAACATGGCTGCACAACGATTGCATGGGTCCACACGAATCATGGGCAACTGTGCAGTCTGCACATAACCAGCCTACAGATACACAAGAAAGCCAAATGGGGCTCATGATTGAAGGTAAGTGATATTACCTTTTTTTTCTGCATGGTGAATATTAAAATCTTTGGGCATGAACCCCTTTTCTTCAGGCCGCACTATTCAAAAAATGCCCCCCCCCCCTTTTTTTTTTCAGATGACCAACAGTCCAAAAATTACTACTAAATGTATTATACGTCTCAGTGGTATAAAAATAAATCATTCCACGATGCAACCAATTAATACTTTTTTGCAAAGTGTAGACACCAAGTAGTTTTACTTCAATCTGAGATTTGGCCCAAAACATGAATCAGGTAATAAATATATTAGCCTCATTGAACTTTGATGTGCAATACACTACTTCATGGTGGAAAAGAATAATTGCGATCTTATACATACACCACAATGTAGTGATTTGAATTGAAAAAGGTAATAGCCATGACACGGCACCCATTGCATACCCTTGGAACATTCATTTTCCTTTCAGTACTGCTTTGTAGCGAAATTCTGCACATGGAAGACACTGTTTATTAGAATTTCACATATTGTCATCGCTTTCAATTCAATCAATTTTCCAATAATCAATTTTCCAACGAAACTTTTTCAGCAAAAAGACTTTCTATGCTAATAAGCTGAAAAATAAATCACCTATACATAAAGACAGTCAACAATACTCATTCATTAAAACAAAATTCCATAATACTATCTGGAACACTACCACTATAAAATACTAACCTTGAATTTTCTTTTTCAAAGGACTTGATGTAAACAGTCTTCAAGTCATGAGTGCTAGGATCATATTCTACCAGAGATATCTGCAATTACACATATAAAAAAGAATAATTCATTCCATGTCTGCTCATTAGCCCTTGATGGGCTGAATGTGGTGTTAAGAGGTGTTAAAATTTATGCCACATGTCATGTCATTCTACTCACATTTCTTTTTGTGGAATATGATTAATAATTGGGGTTTTAGCCTGTTGATTTAGTTTGAACTTTCCCTTGAGAGGAACAATGTTGAAGAAGTAGACATGCAAGCCTCCTTTCATTTTAGAGGCATTTCTAAGCAGCCCCCCCATCATTATATCTAGCAATTTCAGAACACACTGTGAATGGAATTAATAAATAAGAATGGCTATCTCCAAGCTCTAAAACCTTCGAAACTTACCAGAGTCATGATGCAATAGCTGACTATACAGGAAATGTCTGATGTAACAAACAATTAAAGTTCGGTAAACAACCTCGTGGTCCGAAATTCATGCTGGAGAAATAACTGCGCACTTGTACAATGTGAACAACTTTGCGAATAAGTGCGGTATTAAGGTAGCTACTGGGTTTGGAAGGACCCACTTCGGCTCGTTTTAATTTCTTACTCGTTCTTCCAACTTTTTTTCTCGCAGCCGGGGAGGGTAGGCATAGCCCTTTGTTGCGACTACATCAACTTTGTCAACCTGACACGACATCAGCGATACGTCATCAATGCGCAGCCAACAACCGAGCAAGGTTTCCCCCACAAACACACACGTCATAGCAGCCCAGAAGGATGAGCGATGTGAGGAGCACTCTTCTTCTAGCAGTAAGGTAGCGAGATGCCTCTTCCTCTCGGAGGCTTTCGGCTTTTGTTCTGGCAGCACTGCTTTTCCTGATAGTTTCCCTGGGTACCCAATTGGGTACCGTTGTTTTAAAGGCTACATATCATCCCAATTCAATATCTGCGTGTCCAAATTTGCCTTGGAGCAATAAGGATGAGTTGCTTTCACGAAGTCGTGAGAAGTGGCACCGTGTGTCTAGTCATATTTGCAAAACGAGAGAACGAAAATGACCGAGTACTGCCTTAGCACTCTGCTATTTCCTCATGATAAGTGAAAGCTTTTTTTTTTTCTTAATTGTAGCGTGAATGACACCGTCTATAGTGCATTCTTTTAACTATGGATGCCTTGTAGACCATATTGAAAGTTATTTCGATCTGATAATTTTGTTGCACTCAACTTAGAGACTTCAAAAGATCAGGAGTATGCAAATGAGTACCATCACATTTTGACACAACCGTTCAATTTTTCAAATTCATAACTTTTCTGTGTTTGTTTTCAAGGGCAGGAAGTCAAATAATACACTTTTGCAAAACCGTTTTTCATTGGCACATTCTTGGGACTGAGGAGGATACGAAAGAGCAGGAATTGTTTTTCGATATGGAGGGTCTGCATAGTACACAGCACTGCAATACTCACAAATATGATTGCCTAGTGTGCGAATTAGTGAGCTTTTCTGGAGGGTGTAAAAAAAAAAAAGTCTGAACCTATTTACTGGCCCATACTAAAACACAGAATGAGAAATTATTCAAACATCCACTCAAAGCATTTAACAGTACCACATATCCTTATCTTTTGCAAAGACAGAAACACAGCATGAAAAAAAATGAAGTATAGATTTTTTTGAAGTTATGCATATGATATTAAATGACCTTTCAGTGACATTTAAGGTATGCATATTAAATAACATTTCTGTGACACAGTCGCTTTCAGATACACTGTACTAAAAGAGACACTGTCGCCGAAATCTCAAGCATACAATGACTGAAGGGACCACTTCCCGCTTCCTCATTCAGCCAATCTGTGTGCACCTAAAGCAATATAATGGCCACATTTCCAAAAGTGATGGTCTTCATATATGCCCAAAGTTTTGGCTAAGTCAACAATTTATGGGTTCCAGCTAGTTGGCATTCCATAGCCCAACAGCCTTAAAGAGACACTAAAGTCGACGTTGATTGTTGGAATAGCTGTTCGGAAACCTCGTAGTGTTACTTTTGTGCCAAGGAAGGGCCTGTTTTGAAATAAAATTACGTTTCAGTGGTCCACATCGGATTAGCGCACTTCAAATTACCCGCCTCAAGAAGCGGACCGACCGAACCGACTCGCGTCACTTGCACAATGAGTGTGCTGCTGTAGGTACTATGCGTGAAACATAGCTTCTTTATACAGTGTCTATGCAGCTCACAATACCAATGAACAACCAAGTACACATTTAGGGGATCAAGCAGATGATCATGCTCTGTGAAACCTGCATGTACGCAAAAGTGCGTCGAGTGTCGTATGAAAACGCAAACGTATGAAATATAAATACAGCAGATACATAATGAGATTGTTTTTTTTAATTTAACCCATTCCTACCTCCCGAAAAAGAATTGCTGGCTATGGCACTGATTCGTGCAATTAGATAATAAAATTATATAGCCATATGCCTGGTCAGCTGCCCAAGTGCCTGAGCCAAACATGTGTCAAAATAGTCAAAGCTCAATACTTCAACCATGTCTGTTCTTGAACGCGAGACATACTAATGAATGTGTGCACAGCTAGAATTAAAGAAAAATGCGGCTTTTGTATCCAAGCTTATAATTTTTCTAATATTATTCTTGCCTCTTTTGTGCAGGGGACCAGCTGCCGACAGAAGAACACAGAGAAAAGGCCTCCTAGAATCTGCCGTATTATCAATGCATTGCAGAGTTTGCACAACTGTATACAAAAGCACAAAAACAGCAGTGAATACGTGCAGCTACACTGCATTAGGCGCGCTATGGTGTCTACTTCCTTAATCTTATTTATGATGTCCTCCGAGCTCGTACTTTATCTTTACAGTGTGTAGGTTGCATATGTTTAATTGATGAACACTTTCTTTTGCATTCTTATGTTTGCCACGTTGCTCCTCATCAGCCACATGTAATAAAGGTCCATTTGCCATTCACAACTTCTGTTTTGTTCATTTATCAATACATAATTATTGTCGTGTTTGTTTTCATTATGAGGCAGGACTGCAAAAACCACTTCTCCGATTCTACAGGAAAGCAGTTCTAGGAAAATTAAACTTGTTTTATATAAAGCAGCACCACTCCTCTTCCACGGAACTGAGATGGCGTGGTTCTAACTGGTAGACTTGCTAATGATGCAGCAATAGCGGATATTTTATTTACAGGGTTCTGACCAGATGTATCCGCGATGACTGCAATACTCTTGAGCATTTTTCACCGCTTTTTTTGCACTGGTCTTCAATAAATCAGCAGAATAATATACGCTGCTCTTGACGACACTTTCTCGAAGGTTGAGAGAACCCACAGGATAGTTTTTAAAACAGAACAGCGCCAAAAGTCAGACGCGGCTTCAATTTTATGATTTCCAAAAAATTAAAACATCCCCTATAATTTATGTTGTGCCGGGCTTTGGAATGCAGCACAGACACCACGATCCTTTTCAACAGGTATTTCCAGTAGTTATATTGCAAATAAAATCCAAAACATTAGTGCGAAGGTCATTCATGCACTAACGATTGTGCTTCTGAGCATGCAGATGAAGGAAACGGGAAAAAAATTTAAGACGTTGCCGCTGTGTGAACTTGGAGACGGAAGCTACACAAATTTAAAGCTTACTTCTATGCGAATCTGTCAAATTAGACACATCCAAAAATGCAGGGCAAATAGAAAAACAATGCAAAAAAAACAATATTCCTTGGAAGTTTAAAATGTTAAAGTTGACACACACACACACACCAGTCCCTGTTAACCGACTATATATGTTACTAAATGAAGAAAACAACTTTAAAATGTATTTTTCGCCAATAGTCACAGAAAGGCACACGATCGCTTTTCTTAACTTGCGTAGCAGTCCAATTCGAACGCTCAGCCACGAGTATAACATGCCTAGTTTTTAACGCTACCCTGGTATAACCTTGAATATCAGTTGCAAGCAATATCTTTCAAATTTCCTATTATACGCAGAGGAATAACTACGAAAGCGCCACGGTGAAATTCGCAGAAAATGAGAAAAATAAACATAGCACAGGCCCTGAAATTAGGAACTGTGCACGTACTCCCGTAGCGAGAACGAATTTACGTACGAGTGATCCTTATATATAATGCGGTGGTGAATGCTAAAAGCACGCCAACATACTGTGATATATAGTAAAAAATACTCATTCCACTGCGTTATACATTCGGTGGCTACATTAGTGATCAGAAGGCTCTCAGTAAAGCGAAAGTAAACAAAGCAACAAACCATCTATTGCGCTTCCTGTCGTCACTCACGTAGTTCGTTAGTCACCCCGGCGAAAGTAGGCTCTCAAACGACACACACGCAAACACTACCGTAAATATAAACTGCAATTATTAGACGCATACAAGACAAAATAAACTAAGCAGGTAGACACGTTCAGCAGCAGACGAAATGCCCTCAGCTGTTCATTCAGCTGCCTGGGTTCGACTGTTGCCAGACTTGAAGGAGGGTTTCGCTAACTCTATCAGCAAGGCTTAGGGAAACAACACTACCACTCTAAATGCACATATTTTGCTTTAATGTCAATTTAGAAAAAGAATAACTAGAAAAGGCGTTTCTTAATGTACATAGATAGGCAATTCTTGACCACAATTGCGAATACTCTCGTTATCAGGCGCTTTTCTCGGCGCATGCAGTTCACTCAAGTGAAGGGAGCATTTCCAAGGCCTCCCTTGGCGAAGGAAGTGTGGAGGAGCGTTCATGAAACGCAGCGGCCCCTTGAGTGGAGGAGCACGCCCCCCTTGACTTCGTCAAGTCGAGGGGAGCCCTTGAGTGAAGGAGCGTTGTGAATACGGGCCTTAGAGTCTATGCCAAGTTCATCAATATCCAATGAGAAACAAGAAGCTCATCGAAAAAAGCCTGTCTAAAACTTCGACAGGCTTTTTCTCACAAGTGTTTTGGACATTGTGCATTACTGATGGAAAGTGTAGCACGGGAATGACTGGACGGATTTTGATGCAGTTTTTTTTTTTTCTGAATCCCAAAACATTCTTGATGGTCTGACAATCTTAGACTTCTTGTTTCTCAGTTTTTTTTCTAGAAGATGACTTGTACATGACACTATTTCTGACAATGTGTGTAGACAGCCATGATGATCTCTAAAAGAATAGAAGTGATTAAAAATTTTGAGGTTGTCATACCGAATAGTCTTCTTTTGAGTAAAGATCAACACCATTATTTGCAGCTTCCTGGCAAATTTTCTTACAGCGCTAGGCTTTCCAGGAGCAGACCATATAAGTCGAACCATGTAGCACGATGTAACTTGAGAACTACTCAAGGTATCATGATGAAACTGCATATTTCCCTCTTCAAGACACTTATGAGAATGCATGCCCAATTTCATCGCTCTAGGTCAACAAACAAAAATTTTTTTTTCAACGCCACCTCCCCCCTTAAATTGTATTTTTGTCTTTGAAAGGTTTGACTGCAGTGGAGCCTGAAAAGCACCTTAGACACAATATGACAGGATAACGAGGTTAAATTTATTTGTCATTGGGAAGTTCGAACGCTTTGAATAGTAAAATACAAGTGTAGATCGAATCTAATATTTTAAATTTCGAAGATTTGCACATCTCTAAAATCTTACTCCATAAAAAATATACATATAGCCCTGCGTTAGTAGTATGCATTAAGTGGAGTTGCCTTCGCATGACATAATGATCACATGCCTGTCAGCGCATCTTGATCAACTTTTCAATGCGCTCATGCAACCAAGCATGCGGTTTTGAGATCGCTAAGATTTTGGGGGAACATAGTATTGCTACCTGCACTTTATATCGGAAATGATGTGCTGTTCCAATCGGCACGGCTGTGCATATGCATTGGTGACATGGCTTGGATCATGTATGGAAAGAGTAACGGTGTCAGGACAGGCCACCCATGACACAGGCACAACCTTCGGCGCACACAACAAGGTATAAATACAGGAAAGAAAAATAATGCCTCATCATTTAATTGTAACAGCTTATTATTTTCAGAAATGCTTGGTTGAAATAAACGTGGTTAAGCAGTTACGAGAACTCCTGCAAAAGCAGCTCGGCGACAGCTCTCACAAAGTGCAAAAAGGGCTGGCAACATCCCAATAAATTCTCAGCATTGGTGGAGGAAAGGTACATCGCTGTCCTGTCAGATTGAAAAATATCGCTTTTAAAATAACTACTTGCTTTTTGAGATTAACTACTACCGCTACAAACACTATGAAGAGTGAACTTTGTGTAGCATATATAAAAGTGTGTTGAGAAAAATCATTTGTCGGTCCCTTTAAAGGAATACTGAACAAAATTTTTGGCACTAATATATTCAACCAAATTGAAAGACTGACTCCTGAAATCGATTGAGACAACCTTCATTCCAGGCAGAAGCTACAGGAATATGGTGAATTCAGTGCATTTTTCACAAACTGCAGCGTCGGCCATGCGGTGATCTAGAGAATGTGGCGTTTGGTGATGTCGCAAACGACCGAAACGAGCAAGCAAACAATGCCATTCACCGCTTGCAGCTGTCGATTCGCTCATCTTCCCGTACGGTTCCCTGAACCAGAATGAATAGCACCGGTAGCGAACAATGCTCCCGGCTGGGATAAAGCATTGAGCGCTTTTGTGGAAGGGGGAGAGCGGGAAGAAAGGAGGTAGAAAAAAAAGAAAGAGGAGAGGAACGTATGTACCCTGTATGCGCCTCAGCAATAGTGACATCACGGCTCGCATTCACAGGCAACCGCCGTGCGCTGACAATCCATCAAAAATACACCCAACTGTTCAAAAATACGAGAAATTAAATGTATTTATCGGAACAGTCACATCTTCCAAGTAGAATTTCAAAGTTTCGTCCGTTTTTGCAATTTTTGCTCAGCATCCCTTGAAGGACTAAGGCTTGTTTTTAGATGAATTACAATAAGTGCCTGTTTATGCCTGTACTGCCCTTCACCAAAAGATTTTTCATGCTTAAGGCTAGCGGATTTTGGGGAAGGGTTAGCACAGCTAGGGGCTCTTGGTTGCCTCATCCCCGAACAGTGCCTGCCCAGCCCAACGAACAAAAACTGGCTGGTCAGTCATGTTCTCATACCGATCAACTATCTAGCATGGTATCTTAGTTGAGGTAGCAGCATGTCCATGTACTCAAAACACGAATGCCCACAAACAAGTTCATTCAAGTTTCAAGAAGGCTTTCAGGTGGCACCTCTGGACACATGCAGCACTGAGCATAATAAACACTAGATTGGTGCATATGAAGTTATATCTTGCTCCATGTTTTAAGCACAACTACATCAACATACTTCGGCTTCAGTGTCAGTACATGCACATAGAACTTTGCATATTGCCAAAAACAATGTTTTGGACCATGACAGTCGTACACATGAGCCTTGTGCCCAAGCACTCACATTTGATTTCATTCATTGACCCTAAGGGCCCGAAAATGGACATTACATAGGGGGGAATACAATACATGGTACAACAAATAAAAAAGTTTAATAAAAGAAAAAACAAGAAAGGAAAAACGAAAATGTAATAACAAGCAAACATAATGCAAACACAATGTAGAAAAGGCAAACACAGTTCACTAATACAAGGTTTTCAAAGGAAATATAGTAATTAGTGCACAGGGAATGTTTTCAGAAGGAAGATAGAGCCAAGAGATAGGCTCTATTTTCCTTCTGAAAACGTTTCCTGCGCACTTAGGAAGTATATTCTTTCAAAAATGCAATACCAACCAGCCCAAGTAGCCACTCTTTCGCAATACAAGGTTCAGTAGACTAAAATATGCGATCAATGAATATATCAGAGTACAATCTAGCAAAATATGTACATAGAATAAATGAAAACTTGGAATCCGACAATTCACCTAGTATAGCAGAACTGTGCACTTAGTTAAGATAGTAGAGCTGATTGGAAACTAGTTATTTTTTTAATGTTTTGCAACGGTACGCAGAAGGGGGTTCCCCTCGTTATGATAAAACCAAAGGAGAGTGTAAATATTTTATTGTGCGAGCAAATAGTGGACGTACCTTGCATCATGATCACTGCAGCTTACTTCTTCACAAGAAGAAGTCACATACCACAATCCAATTTAAACCAACAATGTTTACTCAAAAAGATGCATACAACTGACCTTGGCGTCCCGAAAGCACAGTAGTAGTGTGTCCCTTGCAGTCGACAAGCGAACAGCTTCCACACAGATAACATTACCGAACAAATTAAACGTGTGTGTATGCTCCAACTTCACTCTATGCTTTTGTTCAGCATACTGGAACAAGAAACAAATAGCACAATACAGTGAGGATCATATTTCTGTGTAGGCTCAGGGTTTGGAAACATAGCAAGATAAACACTGCATAACAATAGTCTAATGAAAGTTGAGATAACTGGTAGGGTGTGATTAGAAAAGAAAGCATGATGCACAGACACGAATGCAAGAGAAGGTTGCCTGAAGGCTCCAGAAATTTTGACCATCCGGTGTTCTTTAACTTGCACTGCCATCACACAGTACAAGGGCCTCTACCATTTCCACTCTCCAGAAATGCGACCGCCACACGGCCAGGACCGAACTTGAGACATTCGGATGTCTGGTACGTCGCTCTATTTTCTATTGGGAGCCTCCTGCCAGTACGCTATCTCAAAGGCCATGCCTCCTGCTGCGTGTTGCGACTGACCGCCATAGGAGGGCACTCACACTACACTACCACTCAATTCTAGGCAAACATTGTGGCAAAAACTATGAACAGCTAAACTCAATTACACTTGACATGCTGTAACAAAAGTGTGTGTGCATCAAGATCACATTCAAGGTGCTTTCAAAGAACCAATCGTTTCAGGGTGTGCAAAAGTGGACTGCTGCCAGGACTGAATGAAGAATAAAAGTGCTAAACTCACACTACCAAACACCCACACAGAAAGAAATTGAACTCACGTCATTTTCAGGAACAAGGCGAAATACTTTTAGAATTGAAGAACCAGCAACGACAAGGCTTCTTTCACGAAGGTTGTAGAAGTTGCAGTACACTGAATGCTCGACGCCCGTAGGTGGATGAGTTTGTTTGAACACAGCATACATGCTGGTTGACATCTTCACCGCTCTTCGAAATGCTGTTGAATAAATGGCAAAAGAAATGGCACCCACTGTAAGTGGTGGGCTGTTGCAAACAACTGCCATATAAAAAAAATTATCCAACTTATTCTGTTGGATGTTTTAAGATTGACTGGGCTACACGGCAATGCACATTAAACAACCACAGTTTCAAAATTCCTATGCAGTAAAGTAATGAAGATGTAAAAATGAAAAGAATGACATTGTCGATCATCCATGTAACCATAACTACAAGAGAAGAAAGAGGAAGCCGCAAAATGTCTACGAACTTTTACACTGCAAATCCAGTGGGACGTGTGCTGCCAGTGACGTTCCAGGTGTTCACAACGTGCCATTGCACAGCATGCTTTTCAGGACCCGAAAGAGGCCAAAGGCGCAGCCAGAAATGATTGTCGGGAAAGGTTTATGGGCGGGTGGGTGGTATCCTTTGTACGTCGTGCGTGTTTGCGTGTGCGCACATTCAAATCAGACAGGTACGCAATAATTTTGGGAGAAGGGGATGAAATCTCCAACCAACTTTCTGGCGGCAAGGTTCCGTTTGGCGTTGCATAAGTTGTTGCCAGACCTGAGGGGTCAGTGTTGCAATTTGGCTGAGAAATTGGCTCCTGTAGTTGTGGCTTCTCCGTGAGGCTTTAGTGTCGTTCGCAGTGCATTTTGCGAGTGCATGAGCGACGCTGGCCGTTTAAATTAACGAAATGAACCGCGCCTTGCAGACGTTGGGACGCGTTCTCTTGCTGTGTGTGCTGCTGTGCAATTAAGAGGTCGTTTTAATTAACGGAATGAACCGCGCTTTGCAGACGTCTGGGTGCGTTCTCTTGCTGTGTGCGCAGCTGTGCAATTAAAAGATCGCGTCTCAGTATTAGGGACGACGGGGAAAACTGAATAGAGTCGCAGCAGGTAGTGCGCTGCCCCCCCCCCCCTCCCTAGCTAGTCCCAGTCGTGGCGCGCGGCACGATCAGCTGTGAAACCTCAATGCGTGTATATTTTTTGCGACAAATAAAAAATAAATAAATAAAAACAGCTGCAAGGCGCGGTTTACTCCGTTATTCCGCGGTTTAAGAGCAAACCTCATAAGCACGAAAATGCACGCGACGGCGACGAGCGATGCTATGAGCGACGAAACAGGGCGTTCGCGCGACGTGTCGCGTGCTCGTTTTCGCGCGATCGCTCAGTTCTCCAGACTTGGAAACCGTGGCTCATCGCCCGGAAGTGCTGGTCCGGGATCTCTCGGACGCATGTTCGTTTTCGCGTGCCTGGCGGCCTGCGGCCCGAGACCGCCCGAACAATTTTTTTTTTTTTTTTTTTTGCAGACGACAGCGCGGTGCGCATGCTGTGCGGCCATCTTAAGTTAGACACAGGAAATTTTCGATGCGCTCTTGCTCTCTCTTTGCTTTTCTGTCCACTTCTCGCATGTTCCTGGATTTCGCATTGTTAGCGCACCCACCTTTCGTCATCGGCGTTCTGAGCCACGTCGAGCATGTGCGTAAACCCGAAGGTCGGGCAAACACGCGTTATACTCGCTAAGAGAAACAGCGGTGGAACGACCGCGGCGGTCTACGATGCGCACGCGCTCGAGTAGTTCACTTACAGTAAGTTGCATCACAACAGAAATAGGTATAATTCACTACCTAACTGCTGTTTAGGTTGCAAATGAGTCAGCGTTGTGGCCTGTGTTGCAGCTATGGAGGGAACAGACGGCATAGCAGACGCCACAGCGGACTCAGCATCAAGCGCGCAGATGGCCCGAGGCCGCTCGGGCTGGCTCGGGACCTTTAGATCACGTGCATGTGACGTAGCCACCCGTGAGCCGAGACGTCCGCGGGCCGTTCGCGAGTGATCCGGGACTTGATAAATCGATGAAGCTCAAGTATGCGCAACAAGAAATAACGCAATGTTTACGCATGTGCATATAAAAAGTGCTGCAAGGCATTCATAAACACTATCCGTTCCATTACACAACAATATATCTTATTTTTAAATTACATACCGCTCACTACGCGGTTTCCTTGGTGCGAGTAGACGGCCTCATGCCAGCAACAGTGAAGTTCGCTCACCGAAACTGTGGCGTGAATGAGGTTTGCCTGCCCTAGTGACTGATCGCGCGAAGACGATATACATCGCATCGCTCGTCGCTATCGCGTGCATTTCCGCGCTTATGTGGTTTGGCCCTTATTCCGACTTCTGCAAGACGCGGTTTATTCCGTTAATTAAAACGGCCAGCGCCATTCATGCACTCGCGAACAAGTTCATCGCACACGCACTCGCGAAATGATCGGCGGACGACACGTCGTTTCTTCCCTAACCCAGAGACACGATCACTTAATTGTACAGCAGCACACACAGCAAGAAAACTCGTCCCAACGTCTGCAAGGCGCAGTTAATTTCGTCAATTAAAACGGCCAGGGTCCCTTGTCGGATTCGGCAAGAGTCACTCGTGCACTTGCGAAATGCACTTCGGACATCAGACCCTCACGGAGAAGCCACAACTACAGGAGCGAATTTCTCCGCCAAATCGCAACACTGACCTCTCAAATTTGGCCACAACTTATGCAACGACAAACAGAACCTTGGCGCTGCTTTTTATAAAATCGAGTTAGCAACCGCGGAAAGCCGATTTAGTATAGAACTCTATTACCGCTCTAGTTCCAGCTTAGATCAACCCCCGCCCCTAAGTAATCCTGCACCAGTCTCACCGTAATGCGAGCGTGTTTCAATGGAATGTAAATGCCGCTCAACGTGACAACTATGCTGCGTGCCTTTCTGCAACAATGTACACAGGTAAGTGACCTTACCTTTAGAGCTTCCATGATGTCAGTGCAATGAATGATAACCTCCAAATTAAACTTCAAATCGTCACTCTACTAAGCCGGCTGTGGCGGCAGCCGGCAACATGTCGCACAGTAGAACACAAGGACCGCACAACCGGCACGACAACAGTCCAAAACGTTCTCTCCAGTAAGAGTAACTTCGAATAAGGTCAGTGCTCAAAGCGCCGCACGAATACGTGGGAAACAAGGGCCGTCCGCGGTGAACTCCCGCGCTGTGGCGCTGCCGTGCCGCTGCGGCGCGAGCAGTGCCGCTACGGCTTAGTGGCGCTAGCCACTACCCGATCTAAGGGTACAGCCATATCTATCCATCCATCGGCGGCCGTACATCCAGACATAGAGTTACTCAATATCACGGAGAAAGGAAAAGTAAGGAGAGGGCACGGAGGAAGGAAAACCTTTTTCCTTCCTCCGTGGGAGAGGGCATGCCTCTATTCTAGTACACTGTAGGCATGCCCAACCGGCGCAGGGCGTAAAAAATGTGGCAGAAATTACGTCACGCGCGGCCATATTCACTAGGCACAATGGCGGCGTTTTGTTATTATTGATGTAGTGCGGTGCGGCACCGTTCAGGCGGTCCAGCGGCGTGTGCGCGTTTTCATGGGCCTCGCACCTAACTGTGGCGCACTGCAGGTGTTCGACAGCATCCATTCTTTGTGCCGCATTGTTAGCTACGCGATTTTTCCCCGGTGGTGGTTGAAACCAGGTGTCTGAACTAGAAACCACGAAACGAGCGCGCGTATACGTACTCCGAATTTGCAGCGTCCGTCAAAATTATGCTGAAAAGCCATCATAGAAGATAACGACTGTGCTCAAGAATTCGTTCAATGATTGCCTTGCAGGTTAGTGACAGTTATGCGGTGTTGCTTCTTATGACAACGGACGATGCATTTGCGGTCCACAGGCCCTTATTAAGACTGTGATCTAATCTTGCTTTTCATCTTTCTGTACAGTTACATCTTCCTGTACAGTTGGCGGTTGGCGCTGAGCTCTGTTCCAGATAAGGAACAGAAACAAGCGCCTTCTCTTTATTTTCCTCTAATGACTAGCCACTTATCCCGGACATCTTCCCTCGCATTTGGCTGGCTTTCCCTGCCGTCCTTGGCGGCTGTGTCGACGCCAGACCTTTTCTCACGCATTCCTTTGGCTAACTTTCGCCCCAACGCGATCCTGGTCTCCGTTCTCCGTAGCTACTAGAGCGCGTGAATCACACTGGAGACGTGTTCCCACGCACTTTCGGGTGGTCTTCGCTGCTTTCGTTCTAATGAAATCGTGGCCTTTGGGATATCCGTTGGAACCAGTGCGCGTCGGACAAAAGAGGGCGAAAACAAAGAGGCGCCGGCGCAAACTCAACGGGCTGCCACGCACACAAGCTCCACCGACGCCGACTTTACTGGCATAATTACGGACCCCCGGGTTGTTGTTGTTGTTGTTGTTGTTCTCCTATTGTTAGTGGCGCATACCCACTGTGGGGGATTGGCCAAGAATCGAGTGGCTTTAAAATTTACTGTTCAGATTTAGAATGATGGAGGTAAACAGAAAGATTACCGATAGCCTATAGGCAAGTGTGGTGCTTAATGTAATGCATACAAATATTTACATAAACAAATTTATTCTTAGAATAGAGCAATAATCTGATTTTACGTATATAATTATGTGAACATGTTAAGATAATGAAACTGGTTAATTAGTCAACCTATTAGTTTCATCAATATAGTCCCGGACGGCCGCGCATACTGTGCCATTACAGAAACCAGAAATGGAAGCTCCAAAAGACGAAATGACAGGCAGAGATAAGTCCATACCAATGCCACGCAAAGGTATTTCTAATAGGGTTTTTCGTAATGTGTTAAACCGCCTGCAGGTCAAAAAGAAATGGTCTATTGTTTCCAGTTCATCACAGAATGCACACAGTGGCGAAGGTGCCTGAGCAGACCTGTGTTTGTAGAAATTTAAATTTGGTACCCGGCAACGCAGCCTTGTGATAGCTACTTCTTGTTTTCGAGTGCGGCAAAAGTCTCTTCGCCAGGGATATAATAAATGGCGATATTCTGTAGAGTTTGTTAGTGCTGAACCTTTAAAGACTTGCATAAGCGTACGTCTGCGGAATCGAGCGGCAGTCACATAAGCGGATGATGGACAGAGCGGTAGAATT